ATTCTATGATTCTATGATTCTAGGATTCGTCCACAGTGGATTTAACGGGAGTGCTTGTCGGCATCAACGTGGTTTCAGTTCCTGTCCTTTTCTGCTGAAGAAGCCTGTTATTTTTATGGAAAATAATTGCTTTAGCTGTTGCTGGGGTCCTCTCTGCGCCAGAACTCGCCTTCCCTGATAGGGGATTTGGCCATACTCTGCTTTTGGCTTGGCACAATTTTCTGCGTTGAATGTGGTCACTTTTGTCCCTCTGCGAGGCTGAGGCAAATTGGGCAAGATCTAGTCAGTATGATCAGTTGTGAACTAGCGAGATGTCTTGGAAGAGATTTAAAAATTATATTATCATCTCAAGTGTGGGATTTGTACTTTGATATTACCTGTCATAGTAGCAAAGGGAAAAATCTTCCCTTGGGAACTAAATGTATGACATAGTTCAGGAAAACCCTGAAGTTCTTGCAACTCAAGTGCCGGCTTTGAATAGAAGTGTAGATCCTTAAGTGGATGGTTAAGTGGATTCCTGCTTGGGCCTCTCCAAGACTTCCTCCTAAATATGGCTTTTTGGCAACATTATCAGCATGGGATCAGCGATTGCTGTAAATCAGTTTTCCTGCTCTCTCGTCCAGGCACATCCAGCAGCTCTCGCTCCACTGCATTGCCTGGGGAGGGGGAAATCTCTGCTTTTAAATTATTGCAGCCACACAGTTGTGAAGGAATCTGGTGGCTGTGTCGCTCTTACTGCTGCATGATAAATATTCTCCTCTGTATTTTTATCATTACGCAGAATGTAGACATTTCCCGGCCTCCCGAGGATGCTCTTGTAACAGTCCCTGCTCACCAGTGATCCTGGGTCCTGCTCAGCTCTCGAACTGGGGCTGCTGTTTTCATCCTACTGCTTCAAATTGAAAAAACAAATCATTCCAATCACTTTGCCATAGTGATAATAATAAAAATGAATAGCTCACACTCCAAACTGCCTATTTGTATAGTGCATGGCTTGAATAAATCACCAAAGCACAACAAAGCTGCTGGACCTGCATGAGTTGCTAACCGTGGATCGGCTGTGGCTGGAAGGCTGTTCTTCTTGCTGGTTGTAGCCTGGCGATGGTGCGGCGCTGCTTTGGGAGCCTGGAGCAGCTGCTTGATGCTGGATAGTCACTTGATGAGTCCCGGCTGCAGGAGGGTCATCGTCCTGTTGAGCTGTAGCACCGGTTTGCTGGATGTGCCGATTAATGTCGTGCCGTAGGGAAGGGGCTGGCGGCTTCCCACGTAGCTCCACGACAGTCTTTTCAAGTTATAGGAAGGCATGTACATATTTTTCGTGTAAAATATGTTTTCACCGCTGCAGAGCAGGCATTAGCATTGGCCAAGCATCTTGCTGGCCTTGGAGGAGGAGATGAGCTCCCCTGGCTCGAGCTGGACGGTTCCTGCCCAGGGAGCGTGGGCTGCTCACGGACCCGTTGGTGGCTGGTGGCCCCCAGACCTGATTTACCTGCTAGTCCATCCCAGAAGGCAGGACTGTTTTCTGTGCATAGGGCAGGAATCCTTCCCTGGGGCTTGCTCTCCTCGCTGTGCAGATGTCCACAGCGCAGCGGGTGCTTAAAGGCACTTTGGCACTTGAAGTGGGCACCTGTTAACCCACTCCACAGACACAACGGTCCTTTCTAGGGTTTCTTCTTAGCAGGAAAAGGGCCAGATGCTGGGCGGGAAGCGTTGGCGTGAGCACTGCATAAAATGTCATGTTGCTTCTGCCTGTGCTGTGTGCTCAGCTTCAGGCAGGCCTGCCCCTTGCTAGCTTCATCTGTTAGGGCTTTCTTGGTGCTCTGCAGCATTTTAGAGCCTCCTTTCTTGAAAAAGAGGTTTTATTCCCTCTCTTGTCTTTCCTGAGCTCTCCAGGACATACTGGTGTTGGTGCATTGCGGTAGGAGTTGGGTTTTCCTGGGGTTTGATTGAATTTGGGATTGCTAAGCAGCTGCAGGGACCCACTTTGCTTCCAAAGATGCTTCCAGAGAAAGCATTTTCCATTAAAAGGGCTGTTTATCCCATTTTAAGCCTCATTTCACCTGATCTTGTAGTTACATACGTTGGATGCATGTCTAAGATGTGCCAAGAGAATTGAAGTTTTCAGTGTGCATCTCTGCTAGTTCCTTTTCCCATTGCCTTTCCTTGTGTTGAAGGACTTCTTGCTCTCAGCTGTCCTGATCTTTTTTCTCACGAGACTGTCCTGCTTGCTAAGATACTGCTTTTTGGGGGAGAAAAAGGACACGGGCAGGTTTCAACTCCCAAATCTAATCTAGTAGTGCTTCTTATCTCCTGTAATGCTAAAAATCAGCTGGAAATTCCAAAAATTCGGGTGTGTTGGGTTGGAGCGGTGCCCACAGCCCGGTCCTGCCGTGCTGGAGTGGTTCTCCATGTCCTCAGGTTGTGTTTTCCCCAAAGAGACCTGTCTTGAAAGCAAAAGCAAAGAGAGGTGGCTGCAAATCCCTGCAATGGGTTATCTGGTGCCAAAGCGCCGTCTGCCAAAGGGGCCATGCGGCCTCTGATGAATTTGAGCTCCACGTTGCCAGATCTTTAGGAGGTCCTTCCAGGGAGCTAACTGCTGGCAAGCAAGACCAGAATTGGCTTTCTAGTGGCTGTAGTGTTTTTGTTTGTTTTTTTTTCCCTCCTGGAGCATGTTCCAGAGGAGAAATGGGTTTCCGAATGCGGGCAGTTATTTTTGCTTGGCCTATGACTTTTGCCATAGGGATGGCACCTGCCCATAGGGTGCAGGGGCAGTGAGTGTCCTACCAAAGCTGGTGAGATATGTGTCTCTTGAGATGCTTTTTTGACAGCTCAGGCTCTGTGGCGGATGTAGCAGTTGGGATGAAGGTTGAAGGTGGCTTCTGAATTACGTTTACCAGCAGGGACCAATATTTTTAGATGGTTTCGTGGAACCTTGAGATGGTTTTGAGGCAACAAGCGTTGAGACCTTGTCTTGAGGCTCACGTTTTACTTGCGTCATAGCCGTGCGTTGAGCAGGGCGCCCACTGACACCCTCCATTTAGGACCTCTTGGTCTTTCTCTTGCAGAACGTAGGGGTGGACCGGTCCCGAGAAGAGGCGCTGCGCACGGTGCCCAACCACCTATAGCTCCAGCTCGCCACGGCGGCCACCCCTCCTCATCCCCGGAGCGCCGGGGAGTCCCTTGGGGACAGAGGGACGTCCCCCGTGGTCGGCCCCGCTGCAAGCAAGGCGCTCGCCTCCCCGTCCCGCCGAGACATTTCGAATGTGGCTCTGCTTCCTCGGAGAAAAGGCCTCGCCGAAGGCACCAGCGAGGACTGAGGATGGTCCGGGGAAGCGGCGCGTAGTTTGGTTTTAAATTTTCATACATCCATCTGTGCTGTTTCAAGTGCGTTTTAGTGTTCATTGGTGCATACTGCAGGGGGTCAAGCACCCACATCAATTCTACTGTTGGGTTTTAACTCGTCTTTACTTTCTTTTTAAGTGTTTTTCCAAGAGTCCTTTTATTTTGACTGTGAATGATTGCCTAGAATTAGAGGGAGTTTTTTTTTTTATAGAATATTTAATATATGTGAAATTCTGAATTTTGGGCATTGGAGGCTCCCTGTTGTCAAACTGAATTTTTTGGAAGCAGGGAGGCTTTCCCTGCTATTGTGACAAAGCAACTGTTTCCCTTCCCAAAACTTCTGCTGTTTTAGCAAGGTTTGAATGTTTTCTGGGGGCCGGCTGCATTTCAGAGGGCAGCAGAGAGACAGTATTAAGTAACACTTGTAGGGGGACCCAGGGGTGAGATGCTGCTCATCTTCAGTGTGGTGACATTTAGGCAATTTCTGGAACAAATTTCAGTCTAAAGTTGATGTTTTTCTTTAAGGAGAGAGTCGAGACAGGTTTGGTAGGGTTTTACCTTTATAACAGCTCATCCAAGAAAGAAACTGGGTAAATTCTGACCTTAATATTTTTACATGGCATAGCTACCTTTTCAGTGGTGTGTTTTTCCTTTAATTTTCCAATGACTTGTCAATTAACCAAGCTTTCACCACCTAGGCTGTTGATTTATTCGCTCGACGCCTGCTCAGGGCTGGCCCTTCCTAAGGCTGTTTTTGCCAGCAAGGGTTAATGCGACTTGTTGTGCAGGCTTTATCTAGCAGCAGGCTGCCGGTGTGATCCCTTTTCCTACCCTGATCCATGCAGGAATGTGCATTTCTCCAGGGTTTTTAGGGCTGGCAAGGTCATCTTGCGGCGCGTCCCCCCATCTCTGTGTTGTGTTACCTCTCCAACTCTCAGAGGTGCTGTAAAAATCTTCAAGGTTGAGTATTTTCTGTACAGTCGGGATTTTTACAGGTGGCTGTTGAACATACTGTGATGTGAGCGCTCTCCGAAGTGGGCATTGAGTAAAAAGGGTTGTACACAAGTGTAAATAAACTGTACGTTGATACTCAAAAGAGGAGAACAAAATGCGACATTGTCTGCCTGGCTTTGGGAGCTGAACTGCATCGCTGGCTGCCTGTGGGCCTTGGAGCAGGGGGCAGCAAGTGTGTGTGTATGGAGCGAGTAAAGGGGGAGCAGGGGCTTCCTGGAGCACAGGAAACACTGGGAAATCCCGTGTCACCTTCGTGGGCCAAGAGGTGCATCCAGCCTCCCACGCCATCCCCGACCACCCCTGCAAAGGGACCATCCTTGGCAAGGGAGGCGAGAGCCTGTTGCTGGCCTCGTATGTGAGACCCCCTTTTGATTTCACTCCGTTTTGACTGCTAGGGAGCTTACCAGCTCGGACACTCTTCTGATGGGGTTAACCCACCCGCTTTCATACCTAGTCGGCCCTCACCGTAATCGTAATCACACTGTGGCCCTCGATGCAAGCAATAAAGACTGACGTGTGTCTGTCCTCCGCCGTCAGTGACAGGTTGGCGCCGGGTCCCTGCCGGTCTGCAGCCCCCCACTCTTGCAAAATCTAGGTAAGAACAAAGTTAATGAATACTTTGCAATTTAGACTCTCAGATCTTAACATCTTGTTCAGTAGCTTATGTTCATGGGGTAGCATTCACCAGGGATGGCTTATACCATTAATGGCCTATTCAGGGTGTGTGTGTATATATATATATATATACACATATATATTTGGTCTTGTTTCAAGTATTTATTAGTACGTCCTTATAGTGGCAGGTCTATGTAGTTATGTGCTTGTGAGCAGCTTTTTTCCCTTTGCTTAAAGCAAGCTTTAAAGCTGCTCACTGAGCATTAAAAGGGCTGTCTTGTTAACGTGGTCATGCCTGTGCACTTTGAGGACGCGGTGGGGACATGTCCAGCAGGTGGCCCTCGGACACAGCAATGGGGCTGGCAGGGTCCCCAAAGCCACCAGCTGCTTCTGGGCATGGGAACTGCAGCTGCAGTGCTAGCAGTTAAAAAATGTATATATAAAAGTATATGTGTGTGTATATATACATAATAAATACAATTCAGGAGGGGGTGTACTTTGTTTTAAACCCTTTTCACAGCAAGCAGGAGTATTAAAAACCACAGGTAAAGCCAGGGAAGGAAGGTTCAGTGCTTGGCATCAACGTGGCATCCGTGGCAGCAGGCAGTCCCGGTGCTCTCTCAGTTAAAAAATGTATATATAAAAGTATATGTGTGTGTATATATACATAATAAATACAATTCAGGAGGGGGTGTACTTTGTTTTAAACCCTTTTCACAGCAAGCAGGAGTATTAAAAACCACAGGTAAAGCCAGGGAAGGAAGGTTCAGTGCTTGGCATCAACGTGGCATCCGTGGCAGCAGGCAGTCCCGGTGCTCTCTGCCATGACTGAACTGCTTTTAGCTGGAGAGATGTCATGTTCACAGGGTTCCTCTCTGGTAAAAGGAAGCAGAATTTAACAGCAGCAGCTTACTTCCCCAAGTAGCATGGTGCCACCACCAGCTAGGGCCTTGG